GCTGAACTGATTTTGAAGAGGGCCCTCAGAGTATAACCACTGAACCGAGTATAGCTATACCTAGAATGTTTCTCAACAGGTATGACAGACAGATTTGTTAAACTTGCTAAATGTTGTCTTCCCCACTTTGTACCAGATGAAGGTCAAAGCTGCTGAACTTCCTGTGACCCCACAGAAGAGCACTACAGATATTCTTTGCATTTTTATTTAATAGAAATTTGATTATGCATAAAAGAAAAACCTGGATTTTCCTCATGGCAAATATTGTACAGCAAAAATATACGCTGAATCAGGCTTGAATTCACTATTTATGTGACAACAAGTTATAAGCACTGAACACTAATAATGTTTTGTGAATTATGGGGATATAGCAATAGAGTTGCACTACAAAGCAATTCAAACTACTTTACTGATCAACAAATTTGTTCTTTAAAACTTCTTCTTTAATAGCAATGTTTTTCAATACTAGCAGCACTTTTTTGTCCTTTCAGGCATTTTTCTGGCATTATTTTTGCTTTCATACTTTATGCACAAACTTTAGAGAGAAAAAAAGCATGCACTTTTATCTGACAAACATCTGTAAATGCATCTGTCCTTGTGTTCCAAATTTGGAATGCATATAAAATATTGCTGATTAGCTATCTTCATTTACCAAAATGTCACCCAATCAAAGCCTTTCTCAAAAACCTGTATGCAAGTAATACTGTTGTATTGTTCTGCTTCATTAAGTCATACCTGTTTGTTAAGCCAAATGCAGATTTCCCTAAATAATAAAACACAATGGCTATAACTGAAGTGTGAAAACCTCCATTTTCTTTTTTGATAGTGAGAAGCAGCCTGTTGAATGCACTCAGTTCTAAACCTAAGGGAAAAAGGCAGAAGGAAGGATGTCATGTTGCCCCTTCCCTCATATCTTACACACAGGGACCAAGTTACTCTTGAAGAATGTGAATGATTACTCATATTTATTCCCTCATAGGAGAATGGAAACCTGGATACAAAATGCAGGATTTATCAAATGCTATCTAAATCTCTTGATTACTTACCATAATATTAAATCATCACCTGCATCAAAACACTTTTTGTTATCTCAAGATCTTTTTAATGGGCACACACATCTGCTATCACTTCTCCAACTGCACTTACTTTCACATTCAACATACTTTATGCTTTGACAGTTTTGTCTTTGAAGCTGGGGTTTGGTAATGCATCTTGAGACTTCCTCCATCCCAATTTCAATGCAAAAAGTGATTGCATAAATGTACTTTGTCAAGACAATGCAAAGCACTGATATCCATGTCACTCTGGATTTCACTTGACATATCTTTCAGCTTACACCACCCTTCTTTATGTAATTTTATAAACACTAAATGCTCCCAGGAAACATTCCTCATTGCCAGTTGCACACGCCTCCACTAGATTAGAGTAACTGCTTCTAAATACTCCAAAATGCTCTTCTACTGCTTCATGATGCACGCTGCAATAACTTTCTCAGTTACAAAAAAACTCAAAACAAACAAACAAAAATACACCACATACAAGCAAAAACAAGAAAGCAACTACAACACAGCAAACAGCTGTTCTACTGCCTGCCCAGGAGCTAACAGATCCATTGGGGGATGGCTAAAGGTATGGGAAGGCTAAAGCAAAGGGATGGTGACCCCAAGAGCAGGGGAAAATTGAGGGGAACAGGAAGAATAAAAGAATCAGTTTGTCCTTGAAATGCAAATGCACTTGAAATGCACATGCACATGCACCAATCAGGTGCAGATGTACAGGAATTCACTCTTGAGACCTTTGATACCCATGAGCATTAAACATGGCCTCAGGTGAGAATGATTGTTCCATGATCCAAGAGCTATATACCAATCAGAAAATGGAAGATAACAGTTTTCACTATCACTAAGCCTGTGATTTTTCCCACTTTACAACAATGACTATTATTAAGGCACAAGGTGGCAAGTTGGACTTTATAATATCAAAATATGACAAATTTTCAGCTGAGAAATTATAAACCTGTTATCCAGTCTACAATCTGAGAAACTTGTCTATACGTCAGTTACATTTTTTTTTATGTGAAGGCACCAAAGTTAATCAAATTTATTTTACTTTTTTTTTTTTTAGCTAGAAGCTTGATGTTAGAACATAGAAAACAAATCCACATCACATCTGTAATCCACCAGTGAAAATTTACTTATTCTAAAATTCTGTTAGTATTCCTCTAGAATCTCAACAAACACTGTTTGCACACAAGAAGGGTTTCTTCCCTTGCACATCTAAGTGACAAAGGTAACTGCACTTTTAAACTGTTTAAACTATGTAACATGTTACATCTACATGTACCACATTTTCACTTTGTAAGGTACAGCTAAACTTCACCCTTCATCAAAATTCTTACTCTTTTATGACATAAAAACCAGACACACAACATCCTCTTTATGTGTCAATGATATGGAACAGAAACAGATTTGCATCACAATATAGCCTCATTCTAAAAATATACATCAAATTAGTGTATGAAGTTTTACTTTTTAGAGAAGGAAATTAAAATTTTCTTTTTAAGACTATTCATCCTGCTTACAGGGTTTTTTTTTTAAGAATTTGGCAACAAATTCAAGCCTGTTGGCAAAGCCAAGATTGAAGGTTAACATTCAGGAGCCACAGGTACATTATCATGCAAGAAGTAAATGTCTGAGGGTTTTTAAAAAGCCTATTGCAAATCAGCACATAAATTATATTATACTAAAATTAAATACTCCCTCTCCACACCAAGTGTGTGAATGAATAATATATAATTACCTCTTACAGTTCCTAGCTTGGTGTCTTATTCCATTAATCTGATTTTTCACAATATAGATCCTCTGGTCTTTCATGCTTTCGCTGCTCACTACTTATCACCTAAGATTACTTCAAGGCACAAAATGTTTCAGGTTTTTCAGATCATACCCATTTGTTTGTCAGTCACTGGACATATTTGTTTCACAATACAAAAATCTACAAATGCTTGCAGTTTTTGGTTTGTCCTTTGAGTTAATCTGTATACACTAAGTCTTAAAGCTCAGTTGTAATTTAACAGTTCAAACTTATAGATTGTTTTTAAAAGCATATTCTATAGTTACTTTCCAAGTAACTAGAAGACACTAAAAATAAAATATTTATTTGAATGAAAGCAATCACATACGTAAGATCCCTTATTTCCTGGAAAGAGGTTATAAAAACTGAAAAAATCCAAAAGAAAAAGAGGTGTAAAAGATGGGAGGAAAGTGATTATCTCATAACTGCATCACTTCAGAATGAAGCACTGTGATCAATGAACTTCATTATTATCAAGACAAGGAGAGTTTAGAATGAGCCATGGAATGCAAAAGCTTTGGGCAGAGAAGGAGTTCTTGTAGTGCAGGAAAGTCTTGTGTGTCAAAAGGACCTGTGGTGTTCTGCTGACAGCTTAGTAAATTATTAACACCCTGGTCTGCTGCTTAAAAATATATTATCTATTTATACTAGTTGAAGGTGTGTGGTCTGCAGCTTCAAAAGAGGTAGCTCTGATTCGACTGAAACCTCTGGGCATGAAATGTAAAGAACAGGTAATCTGCCAAAGGGGAAGAAATATTAAAATTAAAATAACCACGTTATAGAATATAGAAAAATAAAGATACGGCATGCTCTGATTTCTTGATTTTCACAGTTTAAACGTAAGAACTAACAGCCTTGAATCTGTATGTTAAACTTGATGAAGGGTGTCCAAAGAAATGCAGTGAAATTGTTTAAAGGTCTTGTGATCAAATCTGATGAGTGGGTGAGGGAGCTGGGACTGTTCAGTCTGAAGAAAAGGAGGCTCAGGGAAGATCTTAATCACTCTCTATAACTATGGAGCAAGGCAGGTGTAGGGCTCTTTTTCCAAATAAAAAATTATAGGATGTCAGGGAAGAGCATCAAGTTGCACCAGGGGAGGTTTAGATTGGATATTAGGAAAAAATTCCTCACTGAATGGATTGACAAGTCCTGGAACAGGCTCCTCAGGGAAGTCAGTGGTGGCGTGGCTGTCTCTGGAGGTATTTCCAAGATCCATAGGTATGGTGACATGGGGATATGTCTTGGGACATATTTTCGTGGAGGACTTGGTAGTATTAGGTTTATGGCTGGACTCGGTCTTAAAGATCTTTTCCACTCTGATTCTATCATTCTAAGGGGAGAAAAAGTTAATGCTATTAATAACAGTTGGTGAGCAATGTTTTTTGTAGAACACAGGATGCTAATTGCCCAAAGTATAGCTTTCAGGAGCTTATGGTATGAAGAGAACTTTGTTTTCTATAGTGATGACAACATAAACATTGGAGGTCACGTTGTTTGTACATGTAAGTGGTATCATAATCATAGCATGTGGCTCTACTTGAATATTATAATTTGAGTCCATTTCTCCATTCTTTCTGGAGCATGAGAGAAAGGTGTGCCTTTTTTTTTTTTTTTTTTTTTTTTTTTTTTTAGTGATGTAGTACTTTGTTAACCAATAAGAGTTTCCTTTCTGTATTTTTCCACGTATCTGTCTATAAGACAGGGCTGAAGCAATAAACTAGGAATTCTCCTGTCGTGACTCCCTTGAGAGTCCATTGTCGTTCCTTCAAGCCGTTCCCAATCGGAGCGACAGTTATGTCCACGCCGGTGGAAGAAGACCTCGAGGAAGCCTAGCAATTGGGTGTGAACACAACTGTGTTCGGGACTCTAGGGATCGCGGTTTAAACAGACGGTGATCTTTGGAAACCCCCTGGAGAAGGCTGGCTGGGGAAACTGCTACGGAATACAGGGGCCCTGGGAGCCCTGCCATCCTTGTTTCTCTCAGAGCTTCGTAGGTCTGAAACTGCCAGCTAGGACAAGACTGTTTCCTAAAATTTGTTAATCGCAACTCTTGCAGCGCCTTTCTGGCGGAACCGGCGAGGGGCAGGCGCAGGAGCCCGAGCGGGCTGCGGTCCGAAGCGAGGGCCGGGCCGGGCCGTGCCGGGCNCGAGGGAAGCCCTCACCCCCGGGCACGGCCAGAGCAGCCCGGAGCGCCGGGAACAGGCGTGGGCTCCGGAACAGCCCTACCCCGCCCCTGGCCCCGCTCCCGGAGCTCGGCCCAATCCGCCCGGGGCACAATAGCGCCTCTCTGGCCCAGCGGCCGGTCCCGGGATACAGCCCAGGCTGCCTGGAAAGCTCTTTTATTAAAGAGTTCGTCTCTATCGGTGAGCAGGTCCAGTAATGCTTCTAATCTAACCTAACGTAATCTAATTTATTCCCACGGTTTGGATGGAAGCACTCTTTGCTGGGTTCAGAACTGGCTGGGTGGCCGGGCCCAGAGAGTGGTGGTGAACCATGCTGCATCCAGCTGGGGGCCGGTCACCAGCGGTGTCCCTCAGGGGTCTGTGCTGGGGCCTGTTCTGATCAATATCTTTATTGGTGACATGGATGCAGGTATTGAGTCTTCCATTAGTGAATTTATAGATGACACTAAACTGGTAGTGTGTGTTGATCTGTTGGAAGGTAGGAGGGCTCTCCAGAGAGACCTGAAACAGTTGGATGGATGGGCAGAGTGGGATAAACTTTAATAAATACAAGTCCCAAGTCCTGCATTTTGGCCACAATAACCCCCTGCAGTGTTATAGGCTGGGGCCAGTGTGGCTGGACAGTGCCCAGGCAGAAAGGAACCTGGGGGTACTGGTGACAGCAGCTGAACATGAGCCAGCAGTGTGCCCTGGTGGCCAAGAGGGTCAGTGGCTCCTGGCCTGGATCAGGAATAGTGTGGCCAGCAGGAGCAGGGAGGTCATTTTTCCCTTGTACTCGGTACTGGTGAAGCCACACCTGGAGTGCTGTGTCCAGTTCTGGGCCCTCAGTTTAGGAAGGACATTGAGATGCTTGAGTGTGTCCAGAGGAGGCAACAAGGCTGGTGAGGGGCTTGGAGCACAAGCCATGTGAGGAACAACTGAGGGAGCTGGGGTTGTTTAACCTGGAGAAAAGGAGACTTGAGGGTGACCTTATCACTCTCTACAACTCCCTGCAACCACCTTTCAGTCAGGTGAGGGTCAGTCTCTTTCACCAGGCAGCAACTGACAGAACAAGAGGACACAGTCTCAAGCTGCATCAAGGGAAATACAGGTTGGATATTAGGAAGAAGATTTTATGGAAAGAGTATTAAAGTACTGGAATGGTTTGCCCAGGGAGGTGGTGGAGTCACCATCCCTGGATGTGATTAAAAAAAGGTTGGATGTGACACTTGGTGCCATGGTCTAGTTAAGATGTTAAGGCGTGTGTTGGACTCAATGATTTTGAAAGTCTCTTCCAGGCTAGTGATCCCGTAACCTATTCTAGTCTAATCTAATCTGATTTTGTAATCTAATTTTTGTAATCTAGTTTTTTTCATATAGTCTCCTGTAGTGAAATTCTAATTATTTGCAAGGCAAACAAAAACATAAACTCATAAAGCTACTCAAAAAGTGTTTCTCTGAAACTATCTGTCCATGGATTGCTAACACCTATCACATGCTGTGCTTTGTGCTTGTGCAATGTTGCTGTCTAGCCCTCTCAGTTGCTCAATACATATTTATTATCATTAAAAGTGAGCCCAACTAAAAAGTCCAATAAAGCAAAAGAAAATACTTACAATGAGGATGTGGAGCTAGATTCATTATTTGCAGAAAAGTTTTAAGTATTCATTTCTTTACATGATTTAGATGTAGGTATTTACTTAATGCATAACTGCTTCTTATTTACCATTCAAGGATGTTTGAAAATGAATGTAACATGAAGTGGACTCAGAGCTCAGGTGGGTCAGGTGAATGCTTGAAATGTGCCACTATTTCCTCATTAGGTATGGCAGAAATGTAGACAAGAACTTGTATTCTCTCATGACAGGTATTTAAGTTGATAATTTTGCACAAAGTAATTCTGAGTGTTCAGTCCCAGTCTTCTTTTTTTTTTCTTTTTCTGACCCTGCTGTACAAAGGTTACTTACTACAAACTGTCACAACATCTGATCTGCTGGTCACTGGCTATTCAAACTCATTATTCCATTCCTGCAAACTGGTAGTGTTACTAACAGCTATAGGTATTAGGAATCTGAGTGAAATTTAGCAAAAAGGGTCTATTTGTCACACTCAATTGCTCCCAGAGAAGTAACTGCTTGTCTCTTCACATATTTACCAAATGTATACTGAAAGTACCATTACCTTCCTTCATAATAGATTTTCTTTTCTTCTAGGCCTGTCCAGAGTGTATCCAGATCCAGCACAAAAGGACAAATTCATTCGGATTTCTTTTCAGGTGGGAATCACCAGATGATTTGGAAATTCTTGAAGATATTAGCTACATGTTTCAAGGTATGGGGGAGGGGAAGAGAAGAGAAGGGAAGACAGCCACCTCTTCCTTTTCCACCTTATGAAATTAGTTGTTTAGAAGGGCAGTGTTTGCATGGGAAGATATATCATAGGTTAAACTATCTCTGTACTCCTTACTATTTCCTGTACAACCTTCTAACATTAAGCAAAATCATAAGCAAAACCAGTTTCTGGTAATTTCAAAATTGCCATTTAAGAAACATGTCTAAATTTTTTACACTGCAAGTCTGTTAAAGAAATAAAACATTCACAACACAAGGTCATCCCCTAATGATTTGTATAAGAATTAGAGTTTCTTAAAAAGGTATATTTGTTCCAAAACAAGAAGGAATTATGCAATGTAAAAAAAATGATTAAGAGCAGTAAAAAGACTTGCAGCACTGGAAAAATGGATTATCTACTGTCCAAATTAGGTCTGGTTTTGTATCCATGTAGTAATCATTATGTATGTTCTCAATATTTTCCTTACTGTTGTGTAATAAAGGCTGTTTCACTTCAGCTGTTTCCTCAGCACACTTACATCTCTTGTTAGACCATTCATATGCTAATGCAGCCAAAAAAAATCTATTTTACAATGCTCCAGAAAGGTTACCTGTCCCACGTGGTTCAGCAATCTCTCCAATGATGAATCTAACACAGATCTTCCATTGACACCTTTGGGTGTTCTATTTGTCCTGTAAAATGTATTTCTACAGCAGACGTACCTGCGTTACGGCATGAGACTTCACAGTCATCCTACATTTGATGCTCTTCAACATATCTATGTCACAAGCATTTTTTAGGTCAGCATTGTGGCCTCATTCCTCAGTCATAGGACTAGAAAAAACAAGTTGCCTCAAGAAACAAGAAGCTGCAGATTGGAGGTTTAGATTGAGTAACAGGAAAAATTTCTTCATTGGGGAAGGGTTGACAAGCACTGAAAAGGACTGCCCAGGGAGCTGTTTGAGTCACCATCCATGGAGGCATTTAAAAGACCTGGACGTGTGATTAGGATTATGGCTTATGTCCTGGTTTAGGACAAATCTGGGAGAAAACCTCTGAATGGGGTCCTTCTAGAAAGCAAATTCAAGTGGCCCCTCCCCCAGCTGTATCGGGAAAAGATTTCCTTAGAGAAAAGTGGAAAAAACCTGTTTATTTAACAAAAAATTGAATAATATTAAACAATGAAACTTCTCGTCCTTGTTGGGTGTAGCTCGGCTCGCTCAGGTTCTTATCAGTCCCTCTGGTGCTGGAAAGTGCCGAGGCCCAGGCCTCGATGGATCACAGGCGTGAGCTCCCAGGGTTTGTCTGGGTTTTCAGTCCAGAGCAGGCTGAACAGATCCAAGGAAAAAACAGTCCAGGGAACTCCCTGCCTCAGCTAGCTAAAAAACAAATAGCCAAGGAGAGCTCTGTGCTGTTGTCTGTCCCTGCCGCAGACAACACAGTCCAGGAGCAGGATGCGGGGGAGTGAGGGCTCTTTCTCAACACAAACTGCAGCTTCTTCCTCCCCATCACTTCGCTCTCAGAGCCAGTCATAAAGGTGCAGAACTTAATATGTAACATCAAGGAGGCAACTGGGGATAACCAGTATCATAAAGTCACCCCATGACAGGTTAGTGGTGCACTTGGAGGTGTTAGATTAACAGTTGGACTCATTGATCTTAAGGCTTTTTTCTAACCTAAATGATTCTATGATTCTGAATGTCTGAATATCTTCATTATCTTAAGAAATATAGGCAGTGTTCAGTGGATTAAATTTAGGGTTTTAAACATGTGAAAGACGTAGGAGTTTGTTGGAGTGATGTTATAAATAGTATTACTGAAACTTTTATCTGAAAAGGCTAATTGACTAAATTACAATTGCCATTTTGTAATGATGCTGTTATTCTTTATGCACGTCAGGTGATGGATAGAATCCACCAGTTTTTAGCAGAGGCGGGTTTGGTACAGGTAACTCTATCTTGATAATCCCAGCAACTCAAAAAATACTTCCTATCACACACAAAACCTGAGCAAGTGGCAGATTTTAAATCATGTGTTGTAAAATAAAAATAGAGAATATTTTTCCTTTTAGAACCGCTCCCCCCCCGCTCCAGAATCTACAATGAAACTGTTAGATTATGAAACACAAAGTTCACCTTCACACACACAAAGGACCACAGAGAGACAGTGATGGTTAGGAAACCCTTACAACCAAATAAGAGAAACTGGAGCACTCTGATCTGGCTTCTTCCAGGGCTGACACAGGAGGACAATCAGCCTCACTGTCTGTGTGGTGAAAGCCATCGAGGTCAGTCAGGTGGATGGGGTCTCTCTGTCACCTTCCAGACCAAGGAGGGTTACTGCCCTTGGGATACATCTTGGGATTCTGCAAGACATTGTATAAGATGCTTTGAATAGGAAGCAAAGACAGGGAAAGGGGGAGATTAAGGTGTTTTGAGGGTGAACAACAGTGAGGAGATAGAGAGATAATGGTATTTAGGAGACTGGTTGCATGTGAACAAGTTGCTGGTCAGTCTGCTCATCTGGTCATGCTCTTCAATTGGTCACTGCATTCTAGCCTGTCTTCTTATGAAAATCCATTTCTACTTCCTGGGTGAACCTCTCTCTACTCTATGCAGTAATGTTCTGAGAGAGCGAGTATAGGATAATTGCAAGTTGAGCAATCACTATGTTGTTTCTTGGTACCTTACTGCAGTCACTGGATGTGTGAGTTTTATGTCTTTGTTAAAACTCCTGTGATTTTTTTTTTCTCACATCTCAGGGTTGTAGATCCAGGATTATTTGTGACTACATTATTTGGCATTTCTACTGCTTTTACACTGAAGGAAATGTTAGTACTAAGATGTCGGCTAAAATTTTGCATTATCGTTATCCTTTGAAAATATGTAGGTGTGGGTAGGAATTAAGCATTGGTCATTAGGCAGGTCATATAGGTGTGTTTTGCACCCCTCTACATCTTCCTTTGAGGTCAGTTTTACCCATTTCAGTTTTAGCCCACATATGTTTTTTTTCCCATCCTTAGCTACTCACACCTTAGCAGCACTAAACTGATCCTTCTGCTTCAGACTTTCTTCACTGCCTTCCAGGATCCCTTTTATGCATGCACACTTACACTTCCTGAAAGCACTGCAGTATTCAGCAATGGGTCTGAAAAGCCTCTTCCTTTGTTGATAACGCTTGGAGGATCACACTTTAAAATAAACTATAAATAACTCCTAGAGCCAGTAGGGTTTTGTCTTTATCACTTAGCTTTCCTGAAACTTTGATTAAACTGGTGAAATCACTTTCTGAGACTTTGTTTCTATGATGTGGAATTGCCCCAATCCAGGTGCATTATAATAGTGAGATAATAATAGTAATAATAGTGAGATGCCATATGCCATTTATGTAAAATTTAAATGATAAATAATTGTTGTATCTTTATATATAACTTGACAAAATATGTGCCTTCCTGCTTCATGGATGGACATACTGGCTTAAAAAGTCAATTGGAATTCTGTCATTGACTACAGTAGGGCTAGAACTATACAAAAAGTGTTATAGTTGTCTGAATGAGCCTCAAGAGATCTACCAGTTTTGCTGCTTTTAATGATTTGTGGTTTATAAACAACATGAATTATCAGCAGCATTCTATTGTTTTTTATAGCTTTGATTTGGGAGCAGAAATACATACTTCTGAGAAGTCTTGAGTGCAAAGTCTTCTAAAGTGTAATAAATAAATGATTCTCTAAATCACTTGCCAAAACTGTGTGATTCCACCAAAGTGATACAATTTATTGCCAAACTTCTCATGATGATATACTATTAAAACAGTTCTATAAAGACATTAGCAGAACAACTTGACTTGTTTAAAAATATATGAAGTAAGTTGACACCTTTTGGAAGGTACACACAAGTATCTTCAAACAACAGCACTTCAAAGAGTGACAATTTAAGGCACGTGATTATTTTGCAACCTTTGTTACATAAATCTCTGACTAGACCATGTATTTGTAAAACATAATTTCATATATTTCAATAAGTAGATTCACAGATAAGACAGAATTCATCTCAATGCAGGCAACACTTTTGGGTTTAACAATGCTAGATCATAGTGCAACATAATAAACAGTTAAAAAGAACAATGGAGCAAAATATGTGGATGGAATATCAAATATTTCTTCATTTCATCTTTTTGCAACAAGGTAGGCCATAGATACTTGTTCAATAAATAGCAACCATGGAATGCCCAGCTTTCCTTTTTCTGACAGAGCATGTCCAAAAAAAATTTAGAGACAGAGTTTTCAGGGAGGTAAGAACTGAACTGGCCTCACCAGAAGTGAACAAGTTGTCAACTGATCATTGCAATCTAATAAACAAGGGCAAAAAAAAAAAGCTGATACTTACAGCCATATCCTCAGCTGCTCTGAATTTATATTGCTGTGGTAGAAATTAGTGGTGCTTGACTGATTAAATCATGCTGAAGAAGTAACCAAACACTTTCACCCACAGGTTCACATATTTTGGGAAATGTGTATGTACAGTGAGAGAGTATGCATAAAAAGAAAAAAGTATGACAAAATAAAAAAGTATCAATTGTTATAACCTGCTTTTTTGTATTTACCCTGGTAGACACTGGGAGCAATTGCCCTTGATAAAAAAAGGAACTATAATCCACTATTTTATAGCTATGAATACATTCTCAAATGTGGCAACTGGGGACGTGAAAGTTTTTTCGTCACATTTCAAACTGAGAAATTACAACAAACAAAACCTTGCTGTAGAATCAATTCTACTAGAAAACTTCTTCCAGGGACTTAAGAGATTCAGGAATTATGCAAGATATTCCAGGGAAACGTCTCTTCACTATCAAAATGACCCATTTTATCCTTCATTTGTTCAGCTGTGGTAATACAACATAGAGAAAATGCCTAAGGCCTTTAAAACAGGAGTAAGACCTTTGTATAGAGTCTTTCCATTTCTGTTGTTTGAAAAGGTGTGATGTTCCTCTCTGTTTTATA